CGGGGGGGGGGTCATGGGGTTGGGATTTGACATTTTCCTGAAAAAAATTGTCAAAATCCACACCCCAGGGACACCACCATTGGTCAAAAAATGGTAATACTCCCTACCTGAGGAAATCAATATTGTGTCAAAACACAGTAATATTTCCCCCATCTGGGGGCTGGGAAAATTTGTTATATTGCATTCATGATCAAACTAATAACCCAAAGTGTTGTACGTCAACAAAGCAGACTATTAAATTGCCTGTTACAACAATCTAAGTATAGGCCAGTGACAGTATGTATAAGCCAGTGACATGGACTCATTCCCATTATTTGTGTGTGAATAAAAAAGATTCAAAATTGCCTGGCCAATGGCTGCCTTGAAAGATCAAATGCCCACACCCAGGGCCGCCGAGAGGGGGGGGGAGGGGGGGGGAAATTGCCCCAGGCCTCCACCATAATAGGGCCCCAACTTGAGAGGAAGAGCCTAAAATTGAGTAGTTTCTTTAAATTGGTCAGAGCATTTTTGAAATTGAGGGCCCCTTACAGTACCTTCACATGCAGTCTAGCTAAGGTCTAGTTGGGTCTAGCTTAAAAATAATGTCATGGGGCCCCCAGGGAAGATTTGTCCCAGGCCCCACATATTCTCCCGGTGGCCCTGTCCACACCGCAGGGTGATCTTGCGACATCAAAATCCTCCCCGTCGGGCAAGCAAAGTTGTTCAAATCTCTACCCCTTGCCCCCCCCCCCCAATTAACATTGAAAGGTGCATTAGTTGGTTAGAGTGCTACACTGGAATTGCAGGGCAACAGGTTCGATTCCTGGAAGAGGACCTAGTAGGTCTTAAATTATGTATGCATATGCCCCCACTTGGATTATGCACTATTATGCCAAAAGGGTTAAATTGACAAATGTTTGCAGTTATGATTTGCATGTGAAATTATCCATCATGTAGTCTAGGTTGGCATATTTTCATATAAGGATGCATTTTAAAATATATTTGAATTGTGTAGCTGAAGTTGCTTATTTCATATTTTGTATGGTTCAAAAATTGTGAAATAAATATTCTGTTCATTGTCCATTTGTGTCTATTTTGGTAGCAATGCATTGTATGCAGATGCATGTAATGCTGTAGGAGTTTCTGGATTGTTCCCCAAAGTTTGTCAACAAGTAGATATTTTGCAGGTTTCTCTTGTAAGCCTTAAATTAACTCATTGAGCCGCAGTGTGCCCCAGTGCGCCCTACTTATTTTTTTACTAGTACTTGTCTAACGCCTGACGATTTTACTTGTCAATGGGGAAGCTCTGCAGCTTAATGCATGAGTTAATTCCTGGAGTAACCATCCCCCCCCGGGAAATTTCCCGATAGACAGTTCACGGGGGTCGGGAATTTGCCTTTCATATATGTGCACGGGGGCCGGGTATTGGAGGACCCCGGGGATTTGACAAATGGTTGACCAAAATCCCACTCACAAATTTTAGGGCAGCAAAACATAGTTTCAGGCACGCATGTGGGCGCGCTGATCGTATTTTGCGCCCTCGTAGTCAAGGTGGCGTGAAATTTATTGTAAGAATAAGCGAAAATTATATCCTGTGCCATGCAAATTTAAATACAACTATTAAAGGTTTATGTTTTATAATATTCCATAGCAGTTTAATACTATAATGTTATTAAATGACTATGATTATATGCCATTAAAAGTTTAATTAACGTTTACAGTCGATTTCACGAAACTTTGACCACAAATTTTCCGAACTTCGTTGCGAAGTTCACAAGATTGTTGCGAAGTTCAAAAGTTCATAATGAGATTCACAAACCAGTTCGTAAACTACGCATTTGATTGGCTTCTTTTACTTCACGGACCAATCAGGGACTTTGTTTACAAATTGGCTTGTGAATTCCAATATGAGCTTCCGAACTTCGCAACGAACTTGCGAACTTCGCAACGAAGTTCGGAACATTTGTGGTCAAAGTTTCGTGAAATCGACTGTAAAATCGTCCCCGGGGTGGGGCATTTTCCACTCTCAGCTTGCCCAGGGGCCATGCATTAGTCTTCAAGTTGTGTCCTGGCACCCGGGCATTTACACTATCATAACCAATCAAATCAAATGCCCGGGTGTGTTCCCGGGGGGGGGGGATGGTTACTCCTGGAATTGACTCATGCATAATGGTTAATGAAAACATAAGGGTATATATTTTATTGGATTGCACAAATCACATGAATGAAGTTGAATGGATAAACCTTCATTTCATAAACATTCATGATCCTTCATATCATATTTAAACTGCTTTATCTCAAGAGGTTGTACATGGCCTGAAGCTCTTTATAGTTAGACCTAGGCCTATATTTTCAGCACACCTGTCTGTATATACAGTATTGTTGTTGGTATAGTTGTTGCCTGTGAATTTCTGTTGATATTTTGATTTGAAAATGTTTTGGATATGTTGTTTTACTTTGTTTTGATGCAATGATGCATCTGCTGAAGTTATGGATAGTTCTTGAAAATATTTATAGCAGGTAATTTAGCTGGAATACTTCATGAGAAGCTGAGAGCAATTTTATGCTTGCCATATTAAATTTTTATCAGTTTATTTATAATTTAATTATGCAAATCATAGTGGGCATTGAAATTTACGTTCAAGTCTTTTTTTGCAAATAAAAAGATGCTATAAATGTTTCAAGTGTGAACAGTGAGCTACTGAGCACTGTAGAAAATGGCGAGCTGGAACTTTTTGAAAACAATGGAAAAGAATACATATATTAAGGACAAAAATCTCAAGTTTTTAACAAAAGAATTGATAATACAAAGATAAACTATATTTTCCTATTTAAGATAAACTATATTTTCCCATTAAAGTCGGAAAGAAGTGGCATTAAAACATTTATAAAATGCATATTCTACCTGTGGAATGAAATAGCAATTCCACTGCTCGATGTCACTCTCCAGATTCTTATTCGTACAGTTCTACGCCGCTCATTCGCGCCGAAGACTGTGGCATTGTAGTTTTGGATAACAAAATCAAATCCAGGTGGGTGTTGCTCAATATTTTAGCCAAGAAAACTAAAATCAGAACGCTTTAAAACACTTCAAAACAGCCGAGAACTTCGCAGAACGCTCGTAAACTAATGTGTTTATATGAAAAAAATTTCCCGCGTTCTTTTTTGCCCGCTTGTTCAGCCATCTTGGATTGTTCAAGATGTCACGCCTCGCGAGCTGAGTCGGCAATCTATACCTCCTATATCTATGGTTGAAACATCGACTACATGACATTTCTAAATGTCTTAAAATTCACAATTTATTTGTGTTTTCGAATATTTTTTTTCAGATTCTATGTCTTTTTGGACATATCTTCACAACTGATGTAGTAGATTCAATAAACGATTGATTTTTCGTATGTTTTCACATGAAACACTCGAAGGGTTTTTTCGCACAATATATTCCATAAGTAGGTTGTTCTCGTGACGTCAAGTATGAGTCCGAGCCGTTTGATTTAAAAGGTTTACAGAACTTTGAGAGAAGAAATAATGGATGATCAAGGGATTCAAGTACATTTTTAAAAATAAATACAATATTATTTCAATCCTAACTCACATTGGGGCCCCCTGCGAAATTGCTGGAGAACAACCTACTTATGGAACACATCAAACGATGACCCGACGAAGTTTCAACCCTTTAGTCTAATTCTCCCTTCTTTCACCGCCTTCGTCTTTTCGCGCCCGCGGTCCTTACCTGTCAGCGATCATCTCTACTTCGTGAAACGTGATGTAGAGTGATAGTATAATGATTCAAGCAGTTTAAAATGTTTACACAATTCCGAGAGAAGAAATAATCGATTATCAAGGGATTCAAGTACGTTTATAAAAATAAATACAATATTATTTCAATCATAACTCATAGGGGGGCACCCTGTGGTAACAGTGGTAGTGGAATCTTCAAAATCACTGGCTTTGCATTTGTACAATGGACCTATTACCTTATGAACAAAATTTTGATCTAGACAATCTAGACAAAAATTTAATTACAGCTTGAAACAGCATCACAAAATTTGTAATACTCCGAAGTTTTGTTGCGAAATGTTGTAAAATACGGATAATATATAGCCCTGCGAAGTTTGCCGTTTTTCAGTCATTTTGTATTACCCGCGTGAAATTGATACCTTTTTTCAGAAAGCGTTATCAATTCCCCGTGCGTAATACAAAATGACTGAAAAACGGCAAATTCGCAGGGCTTTATTATCCGCATTTTACAACATTTCGCAACGAAACTTCGGAATATTGCTAATTTTGTGATGCTCTTTCAAGCAGTGATGAAATTTTTGTCTGGACTTCTCCAGATCAAAATTTTTTCATTAGGTAATAGGTCCATTGCAGTCCTACTTTCAGGAAGCAACAAAAGCAGGAAAAGATATGAAATGCGCCTAATATCCAAACTTGGCACTGTTCTCCCCTATAGCATTAATGAACGTTTTCCTTATGTTTAACTCTATATCTGTCTTTGCCTGTCTAAAGCAGACACTGAAACTACTTTTGATTCTTACCATTCCCCATACTTGTTTAAAATATTTTGCTGTATTTTTCGTAGTTTTCTGTACATTCGGTAATGTGATCTACATCTCCTGTTTATATTTTCTTTTACTAAATCCATTTGAGTTGTTCATTTTTTGTCACGTTATCGCTTTTGTATTCTTTGAATAAAAACCCATGTAATATTTCCGACCCCCGCTACTAACTCTTGACGAAGTGCCTTCGCTCGAAACGTCGAGTTGTTTCTCCTTCTATTTTTCATGATCTGTCATTGCCTATACACTGAAGATATAGATGGCTGTGCTGTGATATGGATACACTGCTGGAAATATAGGCGAATAAATTAATTTCGACGTTTGGGGAATTTAGCAGAGTGAACTGAGAAAGTTACATTTTGTGGGACGAACCAATACCCCAATACCGCAGTTCGAGATCGATGCAATATAACCCTGTATTCTGTACAACAATTGCCAAAACAGTGCAGTGCACCTTACTGTACCTGCTTCAAGAGCTTTCTCAATTGCGAGTTCATGTCCAACAACGTAGGCTGTTTTAGCCTGAGGCTGGAAATGATCATAATTTTTTTCAGCAAGTTTCATCATTTGGCCATAACGATATGGTACTCCAAATGGCCACCATCCACCTGTAGCCTCATCCCATTCTCTGTTGCTGTGGAGACATTTTCCTGGTTTGCCTGCGTTCTTGGTGTCGTCAGCAAGCAATTTTAGCAGTTTGTCTAATTGCTCCTTCAAAATGATTATATCGTTCAAAATATCATAACTAATCACTTTCCATTTCTTACTATGGAAAATCGAGAAATATAGGGCAAGCTTAGCAAACTTTCAATGTTTAAAGTTTATGAAATTCGCCGCTTAAAATTTTTTTAAAAACCTGCATTGCTTTTCCTGTTTAGTTTAATAGAGCAAATTTAGCTTAAGAGAGCAACTGTAAAAAAGAGCAAAAAGAGAAAAACTTAAATGTACAGGAGAGCAACCTAATTTGAGATAGTCTAATCTTCGCCCTCGCGCTTTCGCGTGTTTTTGTCTCGCTTCGCGTCTTTTTTTCGCGCATTCTTTTCGCGCATTTTTTTGCGTCTCGCGCTATTTTTTCGCATCTTTTTTCTATGCTTGTTTCGCGCCTTTTTTCATTAGTCCACTGATCGGAAATAAGACTGGATAACGCATCCGCCACCCGATTCTGGGGCCGCACTTTTGTATATAATATTCATTATAATAATGGTATTTTAGCTCTATTAATTAATAATATCAATACTAATACAGTAATTAGTATAATAATTATTGATAAGTAAGTGCAAATTGTAAGCCCGCACGTTTGTTGTGAGGTGTTGCTTTTAATATTTTAATAAAGATTTATACATACATACATACATACATATATTTGTATTACAGTATGGTTGTTGTTCGCGTTTTTGCCTTGGTTACGATTCTGACAGAAACAGAAGCATACAAGAAGAAATTTGAGAAGGAAACTTGGTGTATTAGCTTTGTAACGCCTCGAAATGGGATTTACAACTTTAAAGGATTGGAGAGCCTCAGACTTTGTTTATCAACACGAACTCGTTCGGCTACTTTCATACAAAATAAACTCAAAATATACAAGAATTATTGTTACTGGACGACGGTAATCGGTTCTCTTGGTAGGATGAATTTAAAATCTTGCAAACTGGAAGACCCCGGATATCGGCGTTCTATTTCAACACCTAACCGGGAATGGTGTCGGGACCGGATGCCTTCGAAGTTTTGATGTTGGATAATTTCTCAAAAGGTAACCGGTATTACGGAACGACTCATGACATGTGGGACAATCAGGAACTAAAGGTCGGAACACATTCATGGGTGACAGAAAAGTTTGATTGATGATATTAGCAAGATTTGAAAGAGATATTCCGTCGACGTCTTCGTCTATTAAGGGAGGATTTAGAAGATGTTAAAAATCATTACTGCGAGCAAGTAGAACCATACCACACAGTTTTTGACAGACTTCCACCACAGCTTAGGGTTAGTGGATTTAAGCTCTTTGACTTCAGTATCGAAAAACTTACTACGGCTAAGTTTTCGTTCGTGGTTTACACGATTGCGAAGACTTTTAAATAACAGATCTTGGCCGTTGGCTAACGCTTTCCGACGATGGTGGATTAGCGACTTCATTTTGTGCATCATCCATGGTGGATCTTTGGGACCTTGATCTTTATTTGAATATTATTATTACTAGATCTTTATATATTTATTTTTTTGGTGGGATTTTGATCTTTATTTCAGATCAGTAGACTACTATCTCGAAAAAAACGCAAAACAAGGATGGAAAAAAAGACGTGAAAAAATGGCGCAAGAAGCGATAAAAGGCGCGAAAAAAAAGGCGCGACAAAAAGACGCGAAGGCGCAAGGCGCGAAGATTAGACTATCTCACCTAATTTGATGGCTGAAATAAGATTATACCGTGATTTTAACGGTTTTTATTGGCAAAAGCAGTTAAGTTGAAAGAATAATTTTCAAACAATTTTAGAACTGTTTCAGATTAAATTTTTCTTTTAGCGTCCCCCGCAGGCATCGCTTTTAGATTATCGGGCAAAATTTCCTTGCAGGGAAAAAAAATTGTAGCGGCGTTGACTGCCAAAACCCGAAGACTTAGGACAAGCTATGTGTTTGGGTATTTAGATATTATTAAACTATCATGATCATAGACATATTCAGCATTGGCTGCATCAGTACCTTCCAACTCAGCATTAAACTGCACGATAGGCACAAGCTCGCGGTTCTAAATTTTACATTAAATCAAACCTTGTATTTTCCCTCATTTGGAGTAACCGCCAAAGTATTGTAAGCATTTTTGAATCTTTGACGAGCACCATCATCGACCCTGTCCGGAAACGATGGATTTATAATGGGCGCGTCTGGTATTCCATAGAAGTCTCCAGCCATTGCGACGATGTCACCAAATGAGAGGCGTACTCCATTTGGCAGAGTAAGAAGCTTCTTTTCATCTGGAACTATATGATTAAACAAGTCATTATTTAATGAGCACTCGAAAATCTATTGCCTATAATTATGAACTCCTGGCTGTACCATAAATTATGTACTCCTAGGAAAGTCTTTGTCTCAGTTGACCGTTAACAAACAGAGAAAGACTCACTATCGAATCTTACCGTACGAAAACAGATATTGCTACACAACACAGTAACTGACTAGTCGTATCACTTTCTCAATAGTACTCCTGAAACTAATTCTCATTTCCAGTTGTGTGAGAGCAGTTCTAATTTTGTCGGTCACAATGGAGTGCCAAACTACTGAAAATATTTTCCAGAAGCTCAGAAGGAGCCAGAAACCGGAGTTCGTACGTAATTATTTCACGACATATTACCCATGCAATATTTCGTCATTAACATTTCCCCGAGCCATGGGATCCTATTTTGTTATTTATCCACTGTGCAAATGAGCTCCACCTTTGAATTTACTATATGAGTAAATTCTAAAACACGTCTGAATTTATTATTATGATAAATTCGTGGCACATTATGAATTTATCAAGAGAGTTAATAGTAAAGCCACAAGCATTAGACAAGTTAGACGTCTTGTTATAAATGTAATGGCACTAAAAGGGAGGCTTGTCGCGAGGGGGTGGGGAGATTTTCAAGATTAAAAAAAAGTTTTTAAAAAGGTTTTAAAATGTTTTAAAAGAGTTTTAAAAAGCAAAAACAGATTAAAAAATTAGACTTTTAAAAAAGTTAATAAAATTTTAAAAGTTATAAAAGTTAAAAAAGTTAGGGTTAAGGTTAGGGGTTAATGGATAGTGGTTAGTGGTTAGGGTTGGGGTTAGGGTTAGGGTTAGTGTTAGGTGTCGCGAATTTATTATTATGATAAATTCAAAATGTGCCGCGAATTTATCATTATTATTATTATCATTATCATTATTATTATTATTATTATTATTATTAAGGTGGGCAGTTCACGCTCACGGCGCTCCTGTACTTTTTGAATAGTTCATGTAGTTTAACTGCACTAACATTAGTTTTGAGCTTTTGGAACTTCACC